TGACCTGAAATTCCAGCTAACTCCCTTCTGCCAGCCAGGTGACGAGTTTATGGCTTCATTCAAGGTTCAGTTGTGTACTTTTTCTATAAACAAGCATGTTTCTCATCCTTCATCCCATTCTTTGCTGTAAGTAGTACAACCTCATCTACATGTACATTAAATGCTGTTTCTAGGCATAATGTGTCTCTAAAAAAAGAAATTAATACAAGTGTGTATTGTACTACCAGGAAGAACTCTCTCTGTTATTTTAAAACATGGCTGGGTATATTTCTCACTTGAAAGTTGAAACCGAGCATTGTGGGCGACAGTGGCCTAGGGATAAAATTTGCAGAGTCTAATGGATTTTTTTCTTCAGAGTAACACTATATGAAAATATCTCACTTGAAGTTTCTAGTCATAGCCATTTTTTTTATTACACTAGTAAAGACCACTGAGAGTTGATCTAAAAATTTAATATTGATGATGAATTTCATTATAGCCTGGGCTTTTCTTTCCTCATGAGAGAACCATTAAAGTTGGCCGCCCTTGGCTGTGACACTGCTTGTATAACAATATCATCATTACAAAGTGTGCAATATCATTACTGGAACATCTCCAACTTCCTGATATGTTGTGTGCTTGGTTGAAGGGATCCTTGATGATCTTGGCAAAATGGTCTGGACTAAGTATGAGACTCAATGAATGAGGTACCTGTACATGTAGCATATCACTTTGACTATCCATGGACGATCTTCAGTCCTTAGAGTTTTACTACGAAAACAGTCAAACCAATTTTAGACAACAAAATGACAAAATACAGGCCTAAAGATACAGTGTATCGCACCAGTTCTGTATGCTCTACACTGTTAATGCAAATGCATGCAATCATGTGGCAGTTTAATAAATGTCCTCAAATAAGGACAACGTTAGCCTTCATCTCTCTCTCTCTTTTTCATTTATAAAAAACTATCAGCGAGAGGCTTGGTCACTCTTTCATGTTTTTTGATGTTCTGCTTCTGGACTGGATCCTAGATTTGACAAGGACACTGGGGCTGTACCTGTGGAACCCAAGACACTGGGGTCATTAAACCCTAATATCAGTGACTGAGGCTTTTAAACGATGGACCTTAAAGGTAATACAAAGTTTTGGGGAATTTTGAAAATTGGGTGGATAGTGATTCTTTACAATTTTGATATATTTGAATGCCCCTGTGGATGTATTATAAGCACTAGAAAATTTAGCCCCTAAAACACATCTGCTTTCGAGAAAAATTGAATATAAAAATTTACCGGTGCTCCCGGTAAATTTTGATAAATTTCAAATAGCGCATACGGCCGTACAATGGTAGCTGCGACCATGAAAATCTCAGAATATGTAGTTGTGATATATAATTTCCAAACGGGAATAGCTAATCGGTCGATTTTAGTCAAGAAATGTTGCTTTATGGCTTAATTAATATCGTGACCTTGAGAGGGAGCTATACATCATAAAGACTTTATTATTTACAATTTCATAACTTTAGACTCGATTTCAACCGCGACGACGATCAATGAATATTGTAGGATCGCATTTGCCTCCAATATGCTCCTTTGAACCAGATTCATGACCCCATACCAAAACTTTGTATTACCTTTAAACACATTAGCGCCACAAACTCCTGTTATGTGCACTGTCAGAGGTTACAAAAACCATTGAAAATCAGGGAAAGCTAATGTACAAATGTACATGTAGTGCAATCAAATTTTAAAGAAAATGTTTTCACCTGTCTTTTCAGGCTTAATGAATTAATAACCCACCCATAGTTTATCAAAATTACCACTGCCAGTCCCATGGTTTCATTTTCTGACAGAATAAGTCTGTACTAGCTGGATGATGACCTTACTTACTTACCGTATTTGCCGGCGTAAAGGCCGCACCCCCGCATAGGCCGCACCCCCGATTTTGACATTTACAACAACAACAACAACAACAACAAAAAATCTTTTTTTTTTTTTTTTTTTTTTTTTGGTGTTGTTTTGCTGCCGAAAACCCACGCGTGGAAGGACCTTCATTTAACATCGAGGTGCAGTTAAAGGCGCTGATTTGTGCTTGTAAACTTGTCACAAATAATAGTAACAATGTCGTTTTTAGAAGAATGTGTAAGATCATTAATGTGAATTAAAAACAATAAAGTACCTCATGTTGTGGTACACCCTTTTGTTATAGAAAAAAATTTGAGGAACTATTATTATAAACTACATATTGAGATCTATTAGAAAGATTACTTTCAAACCAAGATGACAGTCAAATTTTAGTGTTGTTGTAGTTTCCGAGTGGTGAGTCAACACACTGATTACTGAGCTGGGAGACATTGCCAGGCATAGCGCCATAAATCGAAACTAAAAAAAATAAATTAAAAAAAAAATTAAAAAAATTTAAAAAAGGCCGCACCCCGACTTTTTGATATTTTCTCTTCCAAAAATACTGCGGCCTATATGCCGGCAAATACGGTACTTTACTTTACTTTACTTTAATACACAATGTTGTAGGTCTAAGCCTGTTCATTGATCCAGGATTCTTCCATGGTAACTGCGATTTGTGGAGGGCGGAGGTTGTGTAATAATATGAAACAACAGACTCAACAGGATTAACACCTACTGGGCCTGTGCAGGTAACAAAACTTGTTGAGCTGAGCTTCTTGATAAAAAAACATTTGAACTCTCTCCATAATTGAAGTGATTTCACTGTGAACAAGCACCATTCAGAGATTCCATGATGATTTTCATGAGGCATTTCACAGTGACTTTGTACAGAGACTTTCACATTTATGAGCCATAAATCCTTGGGAAGACTAACAACCCATAAAAGCAGACCGTGAACTGGGGGTATTTTATCAAGCGGAATCCATTTTTGCATTGCCTGCGCATGGATCGGGAAAACGAAACCTGCTGAGAGCCGAAGAAAAAATTGTCTGAAGACATTCCTTTTTGTAAAGGATGCGATTTGTCCGCGTTTCCGAGGATATCCTCGTTTATGCGGACGATCTTCATTCTTTGACCAGCGCCCCTACTAATAGGAGGCTAGTTGGCTCGGTTGGTAAAGCGTCTGCCTGTCTAACTAAAGATCTCGGGTTCGAATCCCAGGGGGTAGGGGTAGGGGGCGGGGTAGGGGGCGGGGCAAGGGGTAGGGGGCGGGGCGGCGAGCCGGAGGGGAGGGTAGTGACCGATCCAGGTAAACACGGCCCCACTAAAAATAGGGAGGCCAATGCCCGGGCGTAAGGCTTCTACACCTACGATTTGTGCGCTCGTCGCCCACTTCAAAAAATTAGCAAAGGGAAAAAAATGATGTAAAAATAAAAATTGAAGAAAATATGAAAAGAAAATACAATTATACATTTCACAACATACCTATAATCACGGATCTGTAACAGTCTTTCACCATTTGTTGACAATCTTGCAGATTTTGACGTTTTTTAATCCAATAATTGTGGTTGCAGACGACCTTGACGCACTCGCACCACCGACTAAGAAAATCCTAGAGGGCGTAGAGGTTTGCTCACTAAAAACCTTCTCATTGGCAGAAGGTAGACCCTAAAAATATGGGATCCGTTTTGAGTAAAGAACTTTTGATAGAGATCAACATTTCAGATGTTCACAATTGCCACTTCTAACAACTAGAAAATATAAAGAAAAAAGATTATATCTTTTTAAATACAGATTTTTACAAACTGAACATTCGAAAGTAGATAGAGTACGATGTTTCTGTCAATCTTGCGTTGGTTTGAGCCCTATAGCTACATCCATCTCAAAATGAGAAGGAAAACAGTGAACAGTGACGTCATTGTTCGCGCCAAAAATAAAGGGTATTGCGACATAATCTGAGCTCCGGTCAGAGCGTGCCCAAAGCGTAGTCTTATTTATAGACCCTAGTACCTTATTCTCACAGCACTAGATACGAGTGTCGTGCAGTAATGTATGAGAAGTGTTAAAAAAGATATTTCAGTAAAAAAAAAGTCTACGTGAGCAGTCTATACTCCAATTGAGAATTGAAATGAAAGCCATGATTTGAAGGTGTGTGTTGTATATGATACATGGTTAGTGAGTGTGTATGTTACGTATAGCGAAAGGGAGAGAGAGAGAGAGTGAGAGAAATATTAGTACACGTACGTTGCATGCATGGATGTGCGCTATGATTGTGTTCGCTGCAAGATGGATTTTAATTGGACCTCGTAACTTCTCGATCGTTGATAATAAGGAATACTCATGAGGAAATCAAATTATTGGAATACACATCTAAGGTAAATATCAATGAATTATATATATTTCTTTCCTTTTTTGAACCATCGTCTTCGGCTCGTAGTAGTAGAAGATGTAATCGTTCGCACATTGATGGCTGGACTTCAGCCTGCATCGGGGCTTGCCTGTGTCGGTGGAGGGATCAACTAAGAAGAAGAAGGTGTGTACGTGTGCGACCGATTCAAGGCTAGCCGCTGTTGAGTGATTGCACTTTCGCGCGAAGTTTTAAACTTCATCATGAACTTTGTCCCTCGGGCCTGTCTAATTATGAACGTAACTTTGCGACATGAAATATAATTGTTTCAAGGCTCTTACGTACGGAAAGGCGTAGAAGGAAATGGCTACAAACCAGCTGGATATCTCCTATTTGATGGAACCTATGGAGTCGGCAGATGGGTGGATTTTCTTAGTGAAAGTAAATGCTTTCTTTTAATCTTAGTTTTAGTATAAACAAATTAGTAATTAAAAAGTTAGATTTGGGCATTGGCCTCCCTACTAAAAAGACAGACAGTTTTTCGTCATTTTACACTAATCCTAACCATAACCCTAAACCTGCAAAAACTGACCGTTTCTGCAGCAGGGCCATGTCCCCGGGTCCGAGTTAGCCAGAGGAGGGTTGCTAATTTTTCTTTCATAATTAAGAATAAGATTAGATATACGGTCTAGATCTGTGGCCTATGGGCATTGCTATATTTTCTCTTGGTCAGAAACTCTTCTACATCCTTGACCCACAAAATTATACTCACCAGTTGAAATTCTCTTCTTCTATCAAACGCACTTTGAATCCCACTGTCTTTCCACAGTTCCACACAGGGTTGCACGTATTGGACAAACAGAGGTGGTTCGAGCTGGGCAGCTTGAGTGTTGAAACTCATGACAAACTCGGCATGCTTTTCGTTGCCTGAATCACCCCATGGTATACCCAACTTGTCACGGGCATCTGCCAACACTTTCATACCCTTGATAATATTTCCATAGATGATGTTACGGAACTCTTTCACTTCTTGATCTGTAAATTGTTGTTCATGGATGATTTTCATCTGCTTCAAAAACGTGCTTTTCCCACTCTCGCCTGCACCGAGGAGCAACACCTTCACTTCTCTTCGAATGTAATTTTTATCTCTCTGAAGCTGTTTGTCGATATCTTTGCTGTGATTCAAGGCCTGTTTATCCGTTGGCGTAAGACAGCAGGTCAGTAGAGTGCCTGCCATCTTGATAGGTAGACAATTATTGCAAGTTCTTTCGGAGAACTTTGTGTTTCTTTCGACGGTCACTGACAATCCAGCCAAGCAGCTACATGTAGCTCGCTAACAATTATACACGGGAAACATATCGCGATCGACAGCGCGTTTTTGACCCATCCATATCTCCGAGTCGTGGAGTGTACGAGTACGAGTAGCTTCACACACACACAGCCTGTGTACAGTGTGTATGTATGGAATAGTTCATACCACACCCATGACGTCACGAACCGGAAGTAAAACTGTGCGATTCCTCATAAATGGAAATTTCGACATTTTCGGGTATGACTGGATAATCATAAAAAATAGACTCGATAATTGATAGATAAAAAATGACAGTTATATGCAAAGCGAAGAAAAACTTTGTTTGAGTCATTTAAAACGTAATGAAAGCTATCGGACACCTTCGAGCTTGCGAGCGCGACACGAGAAAAATCCTTAATATCTGAAACTGAAAATTATTGAAATACAGCAGGTGTTTTAACCGTGGTTAAATTACATAAAACAAACAAAATTAAACTAAAGTCACCCCCTTTACTGAGGTTTCTTTCCATAGCCTAATATCATTTTCTATTGATTTATGTAATTTTTTTTTTCTTGCTCTTAGAGGTATACTAGACATAAAATAATATGAACATGTAGTGCTGCTATTATTAACGAAACCATTATGCCTTTGACCTAGTTATTTTACTGTCAGTTGCTTATATAAATAGACCTTAATATAGGCTTATGTTTAGTCGTGAAAATATTATCTATAGACCTATGTAAATTTAGTACCGTTCTGACCATGCTCATACATATCCAAGTTTTATAAATCAATGTCGATTGTGCTAATTGTCATCCCCATTCTATGATTTATTATAATTGGTGTTTTGCTTTCAATTCCACCTCTCTTCTATTCTCATTATATAACTGCTCCAGTTTTAATACTTCTCCAGCGGTTCATTACCTGATATCTACACGTATTCCATTTGTGTTAATATAGTCATTTTGTCTTCCTTTCTGCATATAATGTCCTTCTGAGTTCTGAGTATAAGCACTTTCTTCCTTTAGTTTTTATACTCTTATACGGACATTTCTTGGCTCTCCAGTATTCCATTCCACTCCTTAAAATAATCTTGCTATTTCCGACCGACATGAGTAGCAACTTCTCACATCTCCGTCCCCCCCCCCCCTCCCCTCCTCCTTCTCCTTTTTCTTCTTCTTTAATTTCTTCTTCTTTTTTTTTCTTTTCTTCTTCTTCTTCTCTTCTTTTAATCATCATCATCTTATTCTTCTTCTTCTTACTCCTCCTCTTGTTCTACTCTTTCTTCTTTCTTCCACTCCGTCTACTTCGGCTTCTGAGGGGGGGGGGGGCACTTTATCTGACTCTTGTATATTCCTTTCCTTTGTTTTCTTCTTTTGTATATAGAACTATAAACAAGCGTCTGTTTCGAGTCAAAATAATAACTCCATAACTGCAGGAGTTAGCGCCTTTGTGGCTCTCTCTGCATGTCTCTATACCCCCTCTCTCTATGTATCTCTCTCTCTCTCTCCCTCTCTCTCTCTCTTTCTCTCTCTCTTTCTCTCTATCCTTCTCTTTCTCTCTCTCTCTCTCTCTCTCTCTCTCTCTCTCTCTTAAGTTCACTTATGGTCAAACTCAAACACGGCGAGTGGAAAAGCATATGACGCACCTTGGGCGGGAGGACTCGGATTCACGCTTACTTTTGACATCTCTTCGTATACTTTTTCTGAAATCTTTCCTTACCTATTCGAATCTGCTAGTCAGGGAAAAGGGAAGAGACTAGCATGAATGTTTAGTTCTGGCTTCCTTCCCTTTCTGATGAGGTTGTTATATGTAGGGGCGGCTGAGCGACTTTAATAGTAGGGAGGCATCAACAAAAAAGGCACTTTCTGGAAAAGGGCACCTACAATTGGAAATCTCAAAAGCGAAGATATACAACTTTTTAGACATTGGTTTTTTACCCCTTAATTGTGATTACATTGTCAGGGATGATTTCGTTATCATGTTTCTCTTTACACATCGACATAGTCAACGCAAGTGACAAAGTACAAAGGTTAATTATCAGAGGTGGGAATGAGGCACTTCTTACACCTAAAAAGAGGCACTCACCAGGGATGAAAAAAGGGGACTTATGAGAATGGAAAATGGGCATTTGTTGACGGAAAAGGAGCACTCAACATATTTTGATTGGGGCATTTATCTAAGGTGTGAGGGCGCTTTTATGAGAAGGGAGAAGTGTCTCTTATTAAAAGGAAAAAGAAAAAGAGGCACTTATCAGAGATGAAAAAGGATAATTATGAGAAGGGGAAGGGGCACTTATAAAAAGGAAAGAGAGCATTTATTAGAAAGGAAAGGGGCAGTTATTAGAGGTGAAAAGATGCACTCATTAGAGACGAAAAGAGCACTTATCAGGAGGGGAAGGGCACTTGTCAAAGTAAAACGAGCATGTCTCATATAGGGGCAATTATCGGAGGTGAAGGGGGCAGTGAAAAGGAGTAACTTACCGGCCTGACAAGGGTCATTTACCATAGATGAAAAGGGGCACTTATAAGAATGAATAGGGACATTTATGAAAAAGGGAAGTTTTTTTTAATGGGGGCACTAACCGACATTTATCATAATGAAAAGGGGGCACAATTTGTTTTAAGGTACTTTTACACGAGTTAAAAAGAGGTAGTTATTAAAAGGGGAAGGGGCACTTCTTACAAAGGAAAAGGGACATTTATCAAAGTAAAAAGAGGCACCTCTCAAATCGGAAAAGGGCAATTATCAGAGGTGAAGGGGGCACTTATCAAAGGTGAAAAGGGGCACTTACTAGAGATTTTAAAAGGCACTTATGAGAATGGAGTATGGACACTTAATGCAAAGAAAAATGGGAGCTTGTCGAAGGAAAAGGGGTTAAATAAAAGGGGGCACTTATCAGAGGTGAAAAGGGGAAGGGGCACTTTTCATATGTAGAAAGGAGCACTTTTTGTTACTTGAATAAGTGGGGGCACTGTGCCCCCCTCCTGAAATCGAGAGTGGGTGATAGAGAGAGAGAGAGGAGGGGGGAGAGAGAGAGAGAGAGAGAGAGAGAGAGAGAGAGAGAGAGAGAGAGAGTACTTTATTGGGAATATAAATCGCTGTGAAATAAGAAAAAATAAAGCTTGGCGAAGGAGAATAGAAGCCAGTGTCCTAATTTGATTCAAAGTACAAGCCAGGAATGGAAGAAGAAAATGCGTGTTTATATATAGAAGAGTTAGAAGAAGATTCTAGAAGAATATTAGAACAAAATTGGTGGGACCCCCACGTATCGATAACAGAATATATAATTTAGGTTTTCTGTTGTACGCAGAAAACCTAAATTTTGTATTCTTTCATCAATACTCGACTTCATACATATTTGTTTTGAATCCTTGCAGACGTGTGTTTTAAATGACATTCTCTTTCACATTAATATGATACAATTTATGTGAAATTTTGCCATCAAATGTTTGGGGTTCCCAACACTTTTGAGGAGTAGAAGAAGAGGAGGAGGATGGAGAAAAGTAAGATGAATAGGAAGGAAAGGAGATGGAAGAGAGTACTAAAATTATGTAAGAGGATACACAAGAGGAGAGAAGACAAGCTTCCAAAAAGTGCCCTTTTGAACGGTTTGAACTGCTAAAATGCAACAATTTTAATTAACCAAAAATGTCAATTTCAATCAGACCTTTATCATGAGTCATAAATGGTATCGAAGAATTCTTTTCTTTTTTAAAGAAAAGTTTCATACATGTATCTTAAAAAATTATTTTAAAAAATGAAATCGTACCAAACTTATGATGGATATATTTGGCATGTGAGGGCGCTCGACCGCTATATTGAAAAAACAAGATGACACATTCCTTTTCAGTAAATTCGAATATGATTAATTTTCTCTCGAAATAGACAGCAAAATAGTGTTAATGTAAAATACATTTATAGGTCACACAATGTATTTATCATGGGACAGATATTATAGCAATGGCTAGATCATTAACCGTTTTCAGTGCAAGATTATCTACACCAGTGTCTTTAAAGTTTTCTACCTCCCCTTATGCCTCTTTATATTTGGTTAATAATATTCTTTTTAAAGATCAAATTCTAATGCTCAACTCTGTATTAGCCTTACATATTCTTGTTTTTTCTTATATAGTGTACAGGTATTTGTGTTTCTCTCTCATGTAAACTCACATCTGGATAAAAAATTAAACATAAAATAAAACGTAGTAATACACCCGTTTGTTCTTCTTAACTTTCTCTTTTACCATCTGAATACATGTATGTTTATGCATTCAATCAATGTCAGCCTGGAAACTTTTTTGTGTTTTTCTCCCTCTCTCTCTTTATCTCTCCAGTTCTCCTACAATGCTCATTTTTCAATACATGTATGTCAAAATGTTCTGTTATGGCCTTACCGGTATGTTTAAATGTACAATAATGTTTAAATGTACAATAATGTTTAACACTTGATAAATCACACAATCTCTCTGTGCTACATTGTGTTTATCATGGGACAGATATTAGCAAAGGCTATGAAAGATCATTTAACTGTTTCCAGCGCAAGGCTAACCGATACCGGTGTCAAATGGGCTGCCATGGAGCGAAGACCGGAAATATGTAATTTTGCAAAGCTATTGTGTTGCACAAACCAATCTTTCTGTTAGTCAGCGCTTATTGTTTTGTGCAAGATTGCACATGGGGCAACAAGCTACTGTGCAGAGGCGCTTAGCGCTTATAGAAATTTGTATTTAAGCGCTATATAAAATTTAAATATTATTATTATTATTAAAGAAAGCAATCAAAGTGTTAAATCTCATCATATACATACAACATTAAATTTCTCACACAACATCAACACATTACATTACACATTTATTAAAAGAAATAAAGAGAACGCAGTGGAAGTCTATTCTGCATCTGAAAATATATATGACAAAAAAACCCACCACATACATATGGTGGCAACTGATGAATCCCACATATAGGTGATACATATAGGCACACAATGAAGTATAATAGCCCGATATACATGGTGATCTCACATTTGCTCCAGGCATTTTCTCATAAAAATATAGGGTCAGCGTTGCTTCTGACTTACTATGATGTTAGGTTAAGACCTAGAGTTAGAGTCAGCTTAATTAAGTTCTGGGTCCAGGACTGAAGTTACGATTTTGATAAGTGAAGGAAATTGACCGTGGAACAATTGTCGCCTAAAGATGTCTCGTAGAACCACAACCACAAAATATCAATGATAAACACAGGTGGAGAAGACAGCATCACCTATGTGGCAAAGGAATACATGTTGGCGTTTGATCAAATGCCTGAAACCCATCAATTTTTCTTGGCATAAAGTCTATCACACAGTCATAAAATAGCCTCACAAGGAGTCAAAAAGCCTGAAGTTGGACAACTGTCTCAAAATTAGCATCTCTTGTAGCAGCGAAGATAGCTTTAACAGATAACACTACTCAATATGAACAGGATATAAATGACTGATTAGAAATTAAATCTATCTAGAAATATCATTTAGAAGCAACATGGTACAGCGGTTCATTGATTTGATGTTCACTGAAGAGTTTGAAGATTTTAACAAATGAGAATGTCCTAAGGTAATGCATTTTATACACTCTTGCCTGTCTCAACCCAAGAGTTAAATGGCAACCAAGCAGGATTTTATTCAGAAAATTCAATGTGGGCTGATAACAGCTAAAAAATCTACTTTGGAAGTACAAGGGGTGTACAAAAATGGAGGAGGACGACTGTGTTATTATTATTTGTTATTATAGCATAAAGATCAAATTACCAACTGTGCAGCTCCGAAGCAGACATATGATTATCATTATTTATATAATGTATGGTATCACAACATGATTCAAAACTTTGTATGAATCAAGTACTAAAGTCACAGCTCTTGCTATACAAAGATGTACATTACATTATTTGTTTCTGTAAGGTGAAGAGCTAGTACACGTACATATATAAAACTCCCAAACTTGGAACACAACTATTTCCTTGAAGAAAATACTACCACAAAATCACTTCCAATCCTTGTGTAGCTGAATCAGACTGGATCATCCCATTAGAAATTACCATATATTCACAATTAAGAATAGTGATGAAGACATTTGCTTATAAATGAAATACTAGAAAATCTGATGCATGAACATTATCTTTCTTACTCTCCTAATGCAGAGGAATGGATATCCACTCTTTTTCAGGGGTTATGTCAGAGGTCATCTCCTTTGAGTTGAATCCACTCCAAATGTAATAGAATCCATTCTAAAGTCGAGGTTGAATAACTCTTTTCTTCGTAAGCCACTATGTTTGAGCATGGATTTCCACTCTAGACAAGATGATACCTAATATGAAATCCCCCCCCCCCCAAAAAAAAGGATTATAACTCCTATACATCTAGAGAGTATATCTTGGGAACTAGCAATTGTGTTCAATCACAATCTCAGAGTCCTGTCAAATCACATAAATGTCCAGATAATTGCCTCTTCTTCTTCAATTGTCTACGATCATTGTCTCCAGCTCATGATACATACAGGTGTGTTATATTAATATAGTGAAAGCCTTTCTCATGTGAGCAATTTTTCCACAAATGCCTCCACCTTTTCCTTGCTCTGATTTCCAATGAACTTTGACACCTTCTGACCCCCTTTGAATGCCATGATGGTGGGGACGGAGTCGACTCCGAAGCCGATGGCAAGGTCCTGGAGTTCATCAATGTCTACCTTGGCTAGCTTGACCTGGCCCTTGGTATTCTGGAGGACTGCATCGAGGACTGGGGCCAGAGCCTTGCACGGGTTGCACCATCTGTGGACAGATTATGCAAATTTATGCATAGAATTATGTAATTTTTAAGTGGACATGAAGGAAACAATACGAGGTGAGTTCCTTTGTGGAGTCTGAGCCACAGCAAAAACATTTTTTAAAGCCCCACTATCCTACTTGTAGCTACTTGCTCCCTCTATATAGAAAACTTCCCCAATCGGTGCCTGTTGGTTTCCCATGATCCTCTTTTTCTTATGTTAATTGAGAGCTGAGTTGATGAGATAGCCACATGTCAGTGACCTGGCTGGGTGGTCTTATCTCTTCTGGCCCAGTAGTATTGACGGTCTTTAATATAGCCCCTCATTTTACAAACCCTTGTCAGTCCTTGTGTGTAACACTGTCTGCACTGTGAGACTATGCTGACGACATACTGCATAGGTTCTGTACTTTAGCTGCCCTGGACAAGGAGCGCCAGCCACAAACGGGTAAAGCTAGGCTGTCCTCAAGGCTTTAAAAATTGTAAAAGTGTCAGATAAGAGTTTGTGCCTGCAGACTAATCTATACAAGTCAATCACAGACTCCTGGTTTCTATGGGAAAGATAATCACAAAACTACATATTTAATCTCTGCCCAGAAGATAAGGTAAATCAACAAAATTACTAGAGGAAATATCTGTTTTCTTACTCAGCATGGAAGTCGACTATGACGGGTGATTTGCTGTTGAGAACCTTCTCCTGGAAGTCATCCCGGTCTTGGATGATGAAGCTATTCTCATCCAGACAATGGCTACTACTGTGAAATGGCGCTGAGGAATTGATGAACTGTGGGAGCCTGTGCAGGGTTAGATGTTGGCAAGAGGGAAATGTGACTCAAGGTTTATTCCCAATTTCCTATAACATACTGTAAATCTCACTTCACACAAAAGGTGTTGAATTCTGATAACCATCTAACCCTGTGACTTGGGCAAGCTCAAATTTTGACATATTTCATGAAAATGGTTGGTGCTCCACAATACAGCACCAAATACATAACTTTTGGATTTAAGTTGGTTTTCAGTACAATTCCAGTAGTTTTAGTTTCAGAATAATGAACCCTATATCACTTTTGGAATCATGAACCTTCAGAATAAAGCAACAAATGTTTGGAATCATGAACCCCCTGCTAAGTGAAATTTGTTTTTCGGAATCATGAACTTTCTGAAAAACAAATCTTCAGAAAAATGTTTAATCAATGAACATAGAATGGAAATGGTCTAGATTGGTTTTCTACAATGGCTCCAAGGCTTTTACCTTTGCACAATGGGTGCTACTGATGCAGGCTTGAGGCCTGTAACCATAGAAACAGGTCCCGGACAAACCTTCCTCCCAAGGGTCCATGAAGTTTGTCTCAATAGTCCTCTTTGCAGGAGCTGTCTGGCAGCCATTGTGGAATTTTTCCTGTCTAACAATAAAAGCCTGAAATGAGCATAACAAATTAAGGAGGGTGGATCAAAATGTTAATGATAAGATAAAATGATATGAGTAAGAGAAAACAATTTAAGATGACAGCTGATAGGTGTACATAATGATCACATCCTAATATTGCCTGTAAAGTTACCTGTGACTGTGCATAATATGCACATCAAATTTGTGCTATATACAGGCCTATCTACTTTCAAAATACTCTTTAGTGTGTGGGTTTGTTAGTTTTTTTGTTATCATGAGTTTTATGTTCCAGTTCCTTTTGTATAGAATTTTATACCCAACATCAAAATGTATGTTTTAAATGACAATGTGGAAATAATAGTTTAAAATCATTTATTACTATAGGGCAATTCCACGGTAACGGAAGGACACTCAGACAAGATTTTTGAACTTCAGGTTCATACTAAAAGAAATGTTTTATTAGTATGTATTAAACTATGGGGAACAAAATGTGTTTCAGTCAAGTGAAAAGCTTCATCAACTTCACAAAGTTTGGATAAACACTAATTAACTGGAAAAACCATGTCCATTTTTATGTCCTTCCGTTACCGAGATAATTAATATGCACATTCTTAAACTACTTAACTATAATGACAATTTTTGGGGGGAGAATTAAAGGCACTTATATAGGTATTATATCTGTACTGTTTCACATCTTATACTAATAAAACAGTTCTTTTAGTATGAACCTGAAGTTCAAAAATCTTGTCTGAGTGTCCTTCCGTTACCGTGGAATTGCCCTATAGTCTAGTATAGAGTATAGTACAATGGAAAAAATAAAGCCTCATGAACTTGACATTTATCCTACAATATTCACAGATGAAGACAGATAAATCCACATCAACCAGCATCAACCGAGCATCAAATTCACCATGGGGACCGAGCAAAACACCCTCCCTGCACCCACCCCCTAGGGAGCGTGCTTTGCGCACTCTGTAAGTGAATCGCACGCTTTGCGTGCTCACTACCGCCCCCCCCCCCCAGCATAAAATCCTGGCCAAGCGCTTGCCTGCCAGCAGTGACCACGCAGGAAACTCCTTCATCCATTAATACTCCACCCGCACCAATTATTTTAAACACTCTTATATTTCACGTACCATCATGCATCAGGGACTTGAAATCACTACCCCTGACATCCAAGGACCTCAAACATCGACACCTTCAAACTACAACTTACAAGTAACCAACCTTTTCTGCAACCAAGACTCAAGCAACAACTGAACAAGGACTAATTATACAGTGCAGTGCGCACCCCCTCATCCTCCTCGTTTGATTTCTAACGGGACGTTGAGGGGTATATAGAAGAAGAAGAAGAAGAAGAAGGTTTAATTTAATTCCTCCTTGCCAAACTAATGCAGCTAGATAGGCTTTATAAATGTCAAAAACTCAATAAAATTTATTCCCATACCAAGGCAATGAAAAGGAAAAAAAAGTAAAATTTAAAAAAGGCATGAAAAGGTAAAAACTCACAAAACTACTTGACACACGACTTGATTATTTAGGCTCAGTTTTACTAAGTCGAAGCTTAACAGAAAAAGACTTTTCGCCTTCAGCAACTAAAAATACAGCTACAGAATGCAGACAGCAGGCGCGTAGCCAGGGGGGGGCGGTGGGGGCGGTCGCCCCCCCCCCCAAAACGCCGGCCAAAAAAAAAAGAGAGAAAAAGAGAAGAAAAAAAAGAAAGAGGACGTAGGAAGAAAAAGGGAAAAGGAGTCGAGAACGGTACAATGAATCGTCAAAGCTTCCGCGCTTCGCGCGGGAAGGGGGAAACTGAGTTCAAATTAAGAAATATGAGTCGGGAAAGGTACAACGAATCGTCTTCTTTCTCTAATAATTTAATGAAACGTCAAAGCTTCGCGCGAGAGGGGGGGGGGACAGAATTCAGACAAGGATTAAGAGTCGAGAAAGGTACAACGAATCGTCTTCTTTCTCTAATAATTTAATGAAACGTCAAAGCTTTGCGCGAGAGGGGGGGGGGGGGGACAGAATTCAGACAAGGATTAAAAGTCGAGAAAGGTACAACGAATCGTCTTCTTTCTCTAATAATTTAATGAAACGTCAAAGCTTCGCGCGAGAGAGGGGAGGGACTGAATACAGATAAGGATTAAGAGTCGAGAGAGGTACAACGAATCGTTTTCTTTCTCTAATAATTTAATGAAACGTCAAAGCTTCGCGCGAGAGAGGGGAGGGACTGAATTCAGACAAGGATTATGAGTCGAGAAAGGTACAACGAATCGTCTTCTTTCAAAGCTTCCGCGCTTCGCGCGGGAGGGGGGAAACTCCCCCCTCCCTGCACCCACCCCCCTAGGGAGCGCGCTTCGCGCGCTCTTTAAGTGATTCGCACGCTTCGCGTGCTCACTACCGCCCCCCTAAAATGAAATCCTGGCTACGCGCTTGGCAGACAGAGAGAGAAGAGAATTTTACCTTTCTTTCACAGATAGCAGCTTGCAGCTCACACTCACAGGTTCTCCAGGCGCAATCGAGGTTTTCGCTGATTACGCAATAGATGTTAGACTTATTTTCCAGCTAACATATCCACGCCCCCTCGTTCAAGAGCGCGGCACGTAGTCGTAGGTACATAAAATTACACGTGCAATCATTTTAATTATAGTAACGGCTGGGTAAAAAGTCTACAGAAAGTGGTGTTCAGAAGTTGATAGTTTAAAATGCCTGCGGAAAAGCGAAAAGTGAGCTCTAAAAAGCTGCCAGATGCAAAGGGAAAGAAGAAACGTGATTTGAATGAGGAAAATGGAAATTCTGACGTGGATGCACACCAGAAAATTCAAGATGAAAAGTGAGTTTGATTTGCCGCAGCCCCATACGTCCAATTTGATGTTTGGCCAAATCACAATCTACATAATTAGTAGTGTAATGCACATCCAAAATCGTATTCGAAAACGTGCACGTGACATTATCCACACATAGCTGCATTACTATCCTGGCTGTGTATTAAAAACTGTTCCATTGATTCTCAACTTTTCAAACACTACTGTACAAAACTCAACTTAGGGATCTATTTTACTCAAAATCGTTTTTTTTTAGTGTCATTGATGATTGATTAAAATAAATATTCCAGACTCCTCTAGCCAGTCTAGGTCTAGTCTAGACTGAATTTGGGTAGGGTCGGCTCTCTTATTTGCGTAGGGTCGGCCCTCTCTAAAGAGAGAGCCGACCCTACCCAAATACGAGGCTAAAGAGAGAGCCGACCCTACCCAAATACGAGGCTTAACGAACGAAAGAGACAGAAAATTCAGTCTAGTCTAGATCTAGATGAATTAGATCGAGGCTCTAGACCTACAATCTTTTCAATAATATCAACCAATGTTAAAAAGAATAATTTTAAATTCAAATTGCGATTCTACTGTCAAGTACTTGCCGATCAGCCACTTCGTAATCATTGTGTGCATTAGTGTGCAATTGTGTGCTATGTGTGTATTGTGTGCAATTGCTGTCTCTCAGCACGTAGTACAGCGCGGCGCTGACTCTAGTCCAGAATCTGCACGGTCCTTTATAATTTCCCTACACACTTGATTCAAGCCGTCAAAGATGGCGTTATCAACAAACTCATCATTATGCTCATTATGCCGGGCATCCCAATTTAATGATCACGCCATCATCGGCTGGTAGCAAATAAGTAGGAAAAGTTTGCGTTGGTGTGGTGGAGATCAAAATTAAATAGGCCAGATTCTGGACTACGCTGACTCTAGCAATGACTCTATGCTTTGCTGGAGTGCCATTACCAGCATACAGATTACAATACGGGATCAGAACAGTACCTTTCTCAGTTTCTGCACACGTATGCACACAAGGTCAAGGCCAGGGAGGGGGAGGGGGGGTCACTCCCAACTGGCTACGCACCCGCGCCCACATCCAGGAAAAGCATAGAAAGGGCGTCTTTTTCAGCTATACAGCGGCGTCAACGTTTTCCTTTAAAGGGGTGTTTTTCAGGCACTGATCGCACAAAATCCAAATAAGGGTACCTATTTGGGTTCACAGGTTTCAATGTTTTAAAAAGGTCATTTCAGAAAAGGTGCAATATGCCATTAGTAGGGTCCATTTCAGAGGTTGATGGACCCAGGTGGGTAGCATTTGTGTATGAGAGTGACGTACTTCTGGGGGGAGGGATTTACTAGCCGAATTTCGCCGGAAACCTGGTGAAAAAGTTAACTCTGTTTTTCTTTATCTAGTAATTACACTAATAAATTTAGGAAATATTATGATCTGATGATTGGAAAGAAGTCCTATCTAATTCCCATAAATTATAATTCTAAAATATCAAAATATATTGTAATTTGTAAGGACAATTCTTTCAACAAGTAATCAGTGGTAATAGTAATCACCATAAGCAATAAACGGTCTGTTTTCTTGAAGTAATTATGTGTGCAATGAGATCAGAAATCACACAAACTGCATTGCGTTACCGCCCTTCACCTACCCATACGATATTGCTCACCTAGCCTTAATCAGCATCATTCCATATCTCAGATCTGCGTGAAAAGTGATGTTAACAAAACCTAAAATGCGTTTGTAAGCACCCATTCCTGCATCCCACAAACCCTCCATGCTGGCTTCATAGATCGTTAGTAGACTCCTCTTCCTACTCACAGAAAGTACTTTGAAATCTGTCCAGAATTTCACTCAAATTGTGAAGATTTGATACCGTAGTAATAGCAATTTGTTTACCTTAATTGCTTCCAACTGTTCCTGATGATAATGAGCTAACAAGTAATTTAGGATTGATATCTGCAATTTATGACACGATATCACAGGCAGTTGATTTTGAATGAAGATAATAAATTAGAGCCCGTGAAGACAGGTAACTACAGCTAACTATGTAAAAAAATGCTGACCTCATAAGAGTTCGCAATGTTTTGTAATGTAAATCACATGCTAGCTTATTATGAAGACAAGTGCTTGGCTATCATTCATGCCCATCAACTTGTTAAGCATGAAGATTCAGGTTAGAGAAAGGTTGAAAAACTAAAGTGGGCATTTCTATTCACCCTTGTTTATTTTTGCTATACACTCCTGAATTATCCAACATTCTTGCAATTATTTGTAATTATGGATTAATAGTTATATCAATTTCATTCCCATTGTGCCACTTCCTCTTATCATTTGTGCAATTTTGTAGGAATGGTCCCTCAGCCAAGTACAGGTCTACAGGTCGAAGGATCCTCATCAGGCTCTCAACCATTGCAGTACTCCTGGTGGGTGCTCATCTTTACTTTGGCCAAGGACAGAGCGTCCTGATACCATTGGCCAAACAGACAGAGACCCTCCCTGCTAAATTTATCTACGTCAAATGTTCAGAGGACTTTGAAGCAGACAGGGCAAAGTTTCCAGGTGAATACCTGCTACAGAAGACCATTCAAGAGGAATAGGAAAACTTCTGTTTAAACTCTAATAGTCTTTACACACAAGTGCATTTTAATTTGAAACAATGTTCATGTTGGGAGAGGGGGTGGCCCAAGGGGCATGGTTTCTCTATGTTTTATGTTTGATGGATTCTATTTATGTGAATTATATTTTTCCATGTTCTTATATAATATTCACTGAATTATGGTCCCAATTTTCTGAAATTTGACAAGCTTATATTATCGAGCAGTTGCTTTCTGACTCAAAAGGTATCATTCAGTGATAATAAAAATATACTGTAAGCACCTTAGTAGAACTTGAATCACCAAGAATGTCGGGAGGTAAAAGGAAATTATTTAAGATTTGCAGGGGGTACAGGTGAAGGGCCAATATCAGTTCGTATAAATCTAAGAGTCAATAAGTCATGTTTATTCTAGCTAAACAAAGTTTTCATGGTGAAAGTATTGTATTTATTGCCTTCATATGTTTTTTTTATTTTTATTTTTTTAGAATGTGCACCCAAGTTATGTGGCCGAGGCGTGATGGATACTATTGTTTCAGAAAAAGAAGCCAAACAGCTTGTAGAGTAAGTATAACACCAACAATTAGATTATACCAGATTCTACAGGGTTTTTTGTTGTTGTATTTGACACTGTCATTAAAGATTTTGTTTCTTAGTAGGGAGGCCAATGCCAAAATCTAACTTTTTAATTACTAATTTGTTTATAATAAAACAAAGGTTAAAAGAAAGCATTTTCTTTCACTAAGAAAACTCACCCATCTGCCGACTCCAGAAGTTCCATAAACAAGGAGATATCCAGCTATTTTCAAAATGTATGCAGTTTACCACAAGAGTCTTAAGATGCATGTAGATCCATTCATTTAGTATTCAAGTGGTGTTGTGGTAACGATTCATCTTTAAACACCACAATATTTAGTATCAATTTTGCTCTTTATCATTAGTTCTATTTATCTTCCATTCCTTGTATACCATTTTCTGTCTCATTATGTCTATTAACTGGTGTATGTTCTCTCTATTCTTGACATGGCAGAGTTGCCAAGAAAGGATTATCGTATGGAGGATCCAATGGAGGGGTAAGTGCTTATTGATCACATCTTATTTATGTAATGCACAATTATTTAAATTGTTCTTTTAAATATCTGAGTCTACAATTACCTTACATTCTTAGAAATATTACGTGGACCCCACCCGAAAGAAAT